GGGTAATAGACAGAATTGGGCGAATACTTTAAAAAACCAATGTAAAGACCATTTTTATACCAACAAAGAAAATCAAGCACTGTTTAAGATCGGTGAAGGACAAACGCGACCCGTTAGCAACGATCGAAGTATACCGAATATCACGCACATGTTGGATGGTATATGTGGGAACCACGAAAAGACACACAAACACAAGGATAAACGAACATAAAAGCCATTGTCGTTTAGGACATATCGACAAATCTGCCGTTGCTAAACATACTTTGGGAAGCGGAGAACACCACTGGATACTGTTTGAAGAAACGCTGATGCTGAATAAAATATCACAGTACTACTCACGGTTATATCGGGAAACGGTGGAAATATATAAGCATCCAAATAATTTTAATCGGATAGAAGAAGGACTAAAAACAACAAAACATGGATTTTTTTTTTGAACCTATTCTCTATCCTTCCATTGTTGGATATAGGTCTCCCCCAGTTCTCTCCATCTTTTCCTATCTTGAGCTGTTCTCTGCCATGTGGGACCTCCTTGTTTCCTGATGTCATCTTTCCACCTCATCTGTGGTCTGCCTCTTGATCTCTTTGCATTGTATGGACGCCACTTTCCAATGGCATTGTTCCATCGTTCGTCTTGGAGACGTTCATTGTGTCCAGCCCATTTCCATTTCAGTTTTGCTGCTTGTTCTATCGCGTCTACTGTCTTTGTTCTGGTTCTGATCCACTGGTTACGTTTTCTATCTCTAAGTAATACACCAACGCAGAAATTAAAAGCCGAATAGAACAAGCCCGAGCTGCCTTTGTAAAAATGAGAAACGTACTTTGCAGTCATGATCTTAGCATTGACCTTAGAGTTCGTATGATATCTTGCTACATCTTTCCTGTTCTGCTGTATGGAGTAGAAGCGTGGACCCTAACTGAGGCTATGCTTAAACGCTTGACATCCTTTGAGATGTGGGTATACAGACGACTACTGAAAATAAGCTGGGTCGACAGAGTTAGAAATGAGGAGGTCCTTAGACGGCTGAACCAAACAACACAACTGGTCAATATAATAAAGAAACGCAAGCTGGAATACTTCGGTCATATTATGAGACACCCTGAAAAATATGATCTTTTACATCTGATCATTCAGGGAAAGATCCAAGGTAATCGTGGTCCTGGTAGAAGAAGAACATCATGGCTGAAAAATCTAAGGCAATGGTATGGAAAATCAACTACATCGTTATTTAGAGCTGCTGTCAATAAAGTCACTATAGCGAATATGGTAGCCAACATGATATCCAACGATCGATAGCGGTCATGGAACTAGAAGAAGAAGAAGAAGTAATACACCCAACATTTGTCTCATGGAAAACATGGATACCAATATTAAAATCCACAAACACCCTTCCCGCAAATCACGAAAAAAGAAAAGATACAAACGACGACATACCCCTCACGCCGAAACCAGTGGAGGTCAGGCGAGTAGAAATATAAATATGGCCTCCGTAGTACAATGCGGCTAAAAAAGTCAGCCACGATCTTATCTCATAGTTAATAACGTCATCCTAAACAATCCACAAGATAAGTCCGAAGCTTTCAAAAACACATTACAGGCGACATTTATTTCCCCGAACAGACCCAATGTCTGCGAAAGATCCAAAACAACCGCCGAACGAAGAGTGGAAGATATATTCTACTATCCTCAGGCACATGATGGACCTCATCCTCACCCGATGATGGCACCTGTGACTGAGGACACCGTCAGGCAGATGTGTAACTTAGGTAAAAAACACATCTCTTGGCTAAGATGGGATCCACAGAAGATGCCTAAAAAATCTTCCACAGAATATTATCCCGTTGTTTACCAATATAATCAATGCATCTCTAGCGCTGAGCTATTTTTCTATTCTTTGGAGGAAGGTAGCCAGCACCGACATGCTCCCGAAAAAAGGGAAAACCTCATTCAGAAGACCTCATTTTCAGGAACTTGGAAGGTCGTTTTACGAGAACTCTCAATTGGAAGGCTGACGTCCAAAAATATAAATTAGACTAAGTCTCACTAGAGAACTTAGAAAAATCCTGAAATAAAAGGATAGCGGTTAGGAGCAATAAAAAGCAGAGTCTGTTTAACTAAATCAACCAGAAGGTCTCTAATGCCAATAAGACTGGTTCTGCGGAGCCCTGTCCAGGCCAGAACTAATTTTTTGGTAGTCGTGCACCTATACTTATAAGAAATTAAGTAGGTCAAGTGCTCCATGGCGCTGTACCATTGGAGCTTGCATGACAGCCAATGCTTAATTTCGGACAATACCGTTAGCTGCAATAAGATTTCAATTCGACCAATCGTAAAGCCGGAATTGGTCTTAAATTTCGGGCAATACCGTTGGCTGCAATTCTGGTTGCAATTTGACCAATCGTAAAGCCGGAATTAAGCTATTGGCGACAATACCAGTGATTCGTGTTTATTAGAGTACGTATTAGTTAAATACATTAAAAATAGGTTGTGAACTTTAGAAACTACCACTGACTAAATGTATTATAGAGATATTTTCTTCTTTGCTGTAAAGGCATTCTACAAAATTCTACAAGAAGATTTGACACTGGTGTACTTTAAAAGGCTCTAAGATACAATCCTAGGCATTTATTCACGAAATTATCTACTATTTATAAGAGTTTAAATAAGAGTATAGAATGCATCGGTGATCCAGAATTGATCTAATAAATGACCTACATAATTACAGGAACATTTCTAAATCGACTCTCTAGCTGTAAGAACTTCAGCTCTTAATATGTTTCATCCTTTTTTGGCGTTTTTTAGCATTCTTTCTGTATTCAGACTAATTTTGTATCAATTATTGTAATACAGTCTAATTGGGAACTGTCCCCTTGTAGGGTGGTTATAAATTTATATTTTTTTAGTGAACTGTTTTAAACCATTTTCGTGACACCATTGGTTAAATCGAGAAAAAAAACTGGTTTAAACAACGGTAACTAGCTTCATGATGACAACTATTGTCACTTAATATCACTCAATTCGTCTGTCAGCTTTTATACGTTAAAACAATAGATTGTACACAATATGGGACTTAAAACGCTACCCTGTGGTAATCCCAGACTTGTTGTTCTTGTAACTAAATATTCCACGTTTACTTTAAGGTTACTTATTCGATTACGGTTCGATTCGATTACGGATTCACATATCTAGGGACATCGGTTAACCCCAATAATAACACATCTGAGGAAATAAAAAGGCGAATAATAATTGCAAACAAGTGTTATCATGGTCTATCAAAGTACTTACCTAACAAACGTCTGTCTTAAAAAATTCGTATAAGGCTGACGCTAACTAAAACAGGTGAATCCGCTCTATAGATTTTTTAAAGAAAGGTACTACGCAAGATTTTCGGAGCGGTCTGTGAGAACGGAATATGGAGGCGTAGATATAACCTTGAACTACAGAATATCTACAAGCATACGTTTGGTGGTAAAGATATTACCACTATAATTAAGGAAACCGCCTGCAGTGGACTGGACATGTAGCCCGCGCCCCTGAATAGAACATGATAAAAAAGATTCAAACAGCGCAACCCGTGGAATAAGAAGACGGGGTAGACCAAAGCTGAGGTGGATGGATGGGGTAACACAAGATGCGGAGAAGATCGGAGTCGGTAAGTGGAAAATGCAAGCAAGGGACAGAACAGAATGGCATAGAAAGCTTGAGAAGGTCGAGGTCCTTTAAGGGCTGTAGCCCTCAGATAATGATGATGATGATTCGATTACGGTTTATTATTTGTTTTAAAAAGCATAACTAAATAAATTCAATTCGTATCATTTGTCGATGTAGATTTTCTAGATTTACTTTATCGTAGGCTGCCTTGATATCCATAAATAACGCTATTCTTGAACGATTTAGTGAGGATGAGATATCAATATCCGTTGCTAAAGGAGTAATATTTTCTATTCTAAAATGAGCTTTTCTAAACGCAAACTGATATTTTGGTAAATTGAGATTGGATTCTAGCCAATATTTCATACTTGTTTTGAGTATTCGCTCGAATATTTTAAGAACACAAAAAGCCATTGATGTACCTCTATATCTTGTGCGGTTTTGAACAATAAAATGATAATGTATTACTTGCAATTTTCTGGATACTGCCTGCTTTCCCATATATTATTTATTGTTTCTATCAAGGTAATTTTGCAGGAAAACGTCTATACCCATTACATAATGAATGGTATTAAAACCAGAAACTGTATTTTTGTTTGTTTTTTTTATACCGTTCAGCAATTATTTGAGACTAAATTGCTTTAGTAGAGTATTCATTTTTATTTTATTTTACCATTTTATACTTGAAGAAAGTAAATTGCTTGTTCTTCTTCAACCCATGGCGGAGTTATTTGGTTTATAAAAATTGTTGTCCATTACCCTGTTCTTACCTTACTGACTGATTCTTTATAATTATTTTCTAACCTCTGTCCATATTTGTGTAATTGTTGTATTTTTATTTATTAAAGTAAAATATTTCTTCAAGATTTTTTTTGTGCTTTTTCATTAGCTTTTGACACACAAAGTCATTATATATTTTAGGCATATCACATAATTTACTGCATTTGAGTTTTGTATCGTAAATGAGCGTCTTTTGGCTTTTCATTAATATTTAACATTTATATTTGCACATTATAGTCACACCAATATTTGTTAAACTTCGAACTGATCACTTCTTTCTTTTTAGGTACTGAATGTTCTTCAATGTCATATCTCATTTAATATAGAACTAATTTTCAAGTCATTCACTGTAATAAATTGAAATAAACTAGTTTGTGAAACAATCAGGATATGCTTTATTAATGTGTAGACTTTATTATTGAGATTAGGCTTTTGGGCACGAAGTACCAATGAAGAAATACTGGAACTTCTTTCTTATGCGTTTATTATGGTTCATTCTCTACACTTATCTTTATTTGTTTTTATTTGTGAAGATATTTAATGAACTAATTTTATATTTTTATTTTAGAGGAACAAGCGGTATAGACATCGATCTAAGACGAGTAGACATTGATCAGTGTCCTCTTCCAAAGGGAGGTACACAGCTAAATATCTTTGCCGCATCAGATAAATGCAAGAGAAGAACCACCATGGTAAGTTATAAAGATAAATTTTTAAAAACGCATGAATATATTTCTAGCTTTACCGTTTTCACTTTAAATTTGGCAATAGTTTGGTACTAGTACTAAACATACAGAGAACACTGACATCCAAATTCCAAATTCCTAACACCTTTGCCAAGTATTTCGAAGTTCAGAGATAAAACTAATCATTCTATTTTCTCGCATCATGAAATATATTAACAAAAAAAATCTGATATCATCTGAATAGATCCTTTCTTTTTCCCTTTTACTATCCACAAGGTTAAAATAAATATATTTTAGCTATAGCAGAAACACCCCAGCTGATCTTGGTGATATGTTTTATGCAATTTTAAAGTATTTGTGTAACTATTATGGTCACAATAAACTTCTAACTTTATAAGATATAATCTGAAGATCACATAAATTTCAGTCTGCTTTTATTCCAATACTGAAGCTAAATCAGTCAATTATTTTACCACAATCTTACAGACCCATCTCCCTCACATGCACTATGTGTAAGCGAATTGCAAAAATGATCAACCCATGTCTTGTATGGTATTTTGAAAAGCATAAGATTATTTCAAAGAAACAATCTAGTAACCAAAACCAACGGTTCACAAGAAATAATCTTGTACTCCTCCAAACCCATATCTCTAACACAATTAATAGCAAATAAGGTTTAATATAATAACAACTATTTTTGATATAGAAGGCGCATTTGATACCATCTTAAAAAACGCAATTCTTGACAAACTTCAAATTTTTAGTAATATCTAGAATAACTATTTAACTGCCAATAACTTGTTTTTTCTCTATATATATATATATATATATATATATATATATATATATATATAAATTCAACATAATGGAGATCCTCAGGGTTCAGTTTTAAGCACATCCTTATTCATTCTTGCGGTTAGCAGTAATGTTACAGTATTACCACTAATCAAATGTTCATTATATATCGATGACCTAATAATGTACTATTAAGATAAATCTAACTCAAACACTAGCAAAATTCTGCAATTAGCAGTAAGTGTTCAATAAAACAAAGTTGACACTCTACGTGAAATTAGTTACCGGGCATGTAGACGTGACTCATCAGTCTCTACACGCAATATGTTCTACTAATGAAAAACAGACAGAAGCTTAATAACCGGAAACCACACAAAATACTTACATAAAATGTCTGTGGTCTTTTACAACTGGGCAAACAAACTATTCTGAATAAAGAACTGGAACGAACCCATATTTCTGTGGTCGGTGTATCTGAACTTCCTTCCTCCGTAATGAAGGATACTACACAAGTAAATTGGACATTTTATGTGTTTCTCCGGCAACAATATCAAAAGTATTAATGGTGTTGGCTTTTGAGTTTTAAAAATTTCTTTCCTTTTAATATACTGGGCTATCGAGCTATCAGTGATGGTATCATTCCTTAAGACTAAATAAAACCTATTCATATATATTATTCACTATATCTACTCCTATTCAACAAATATACAAACCTATTCATTTGATTCCGATATATGCATCTACCTCAACTACTGATATAATACAACTGAATCTCTCTTCAAAGAGGTCAAATTATATCTCCAAATATCCCAAATAAAAAAATCGCTGACATCATGGGAGATATAAATATAAAAATCTGTGTTACTGTGTAGCATTTGCAATTCATTGCTTTTTTTGGGTATATTGAAATCCCCTCGTATGTGTAATATATTGAAATTCCCTCATATATGCATTATAATAACGAAGAATTTTTTCAATGTTTCTTAGTTCGTATCGTTCAATTTGAACCCCAAATAATATTTCGTTCTTTTCACGTCACCAAGTCGTTAATATAAACTTTTTATAGTTTATTTATATTTTACAGATGTTACTTCTTTAGTATTTCTTTTAATGTTTTATTCGAAATGCTTGAATTGCGTTTTCTAATAAAGGATTTGCGTTTCAACCATTTAAAGTGTTTATTCTAACTTATGCGATCAATTTCTAAGGATAATTTCGTCACTATCGTTGGAGCCGCGGTGAGTAGCGGTCAGCATTATGTCCAAATTGTACATCTTAATTTCCGTTGTGTTTTGTTTATTTTCAAGTTATGTGAACGAATTTTTAAGATAATTTCGTCATTCTTACTTGGGTCGTTGTAGGCTCAGGTATGGATCCAAATTCATCCGTCGAATTTATAGTTTTCTATTTTTTGCCCCTTTTTATGGAAATATGTAGCAGTGAAAAGTAAATTGTGAAGTATGTCTAGTTACAGAGAAGGTTGAAAAAGTATTTAAGAGATTTGTGTCGCCTGCAGCAATTCTGATGTTCCAGTTTGTTTCCAGATTTAAGTGCTTCTTAAATCTCGCTATTAATAAAGCAGTGTGTTTGGTTCCAGTTATAGTTCCAGTATTCTAGTGTAAAACCCAATCTAGTCCAGGTAACTTTTGTGTAAATATTTAAAGTAGACATTTTTTAATTAATCTGTTGCCTTCATTAAAATTTAGAGGATTTATAATAATTAATAAATTAAAAAAATTTAGGGTTTGACTTTAGCTGTCAATTTGTGTGTTAAGTTTTTTTGTTAAATTTATTGTTAACATATAACAGCTCGTTTTATTATTTTTGATTTTAGTTTGTTTTATTTTTAAAGAAGGTTAACCTCCATGCAATTTTGTAATTTTTTTAGCAACAGAGTTTGTAAACGGCTAGGACACATGTAAGTTTTTTAGTTATTCTTGTTCTCTGAAACTATTAATCAATATGTAAATTTGTGCAATTATTTTTATAACTGTTTGTGGTAGGACACAATAAATGTTAAATTTTGTTTCTTAACGTTTCGTCTAGTTTTTTAAAATTAATCCTTTTTTTCAGATAGGTTTTGATTTTTTAATAATTATTTCTCTAGTTACAACTAGCTGTTGTAATGGTTATAATTAGGCACCTTAAAGTGGCGCCCTATATTGAATTACTAGAGGTGTTTCCTGTTTCTTTTTGTTTTGTTTGTCCCAAGAAATTCATTACTCTTTATTTCATTTTTTTTTGTAGTTGCCCCAATCCATCCCCCTTGCCATTTACTTATCCACGACCCCAGCACTTCTAACAAACCCTTAGTGCCGTTCGCATATGTTTCGATTATTTGCTTGCCCTATCTACACCCAATAATTTATGCCCCCAACTTTCAGCGCCCATAGTAATACCCCATGTGATAGGCAAAATATATTCGTTACAACTGCGGCGGACAAACTATATAAAATAATGCGAACAGATATGGAAAAGAGAACAAGAACAAGAGAACACCGCCTTTCCAGTTCTGCGTTGAAAATAATTTGGCAATAATGAATTCTATGTATAAGCACTTTCGCAGAAAATTGTAAAATTGTATCTCACTTAATGGACGACACCGAAATCAAATTGATTCTATAATGATTAAACATCTCTGGAAAAAATCTATTTTCCAACGAAAACACGACCTGGCGCTGATTGTGGCTCTGATCAGTAACTGCTTTTTGCAACATTAAAACAAAAATTTAAAGCATATGCTAGGGTCCGAACAAAAAAACAAGAGGCTATAACAAATAAATAATAGGTATAAATAATACAATTTAAAAGCTAATGCAATAAAAGATTGGGAAATATTTGACCAACCATAGGCACATATGATTCCGAAAAGATTTAGCTATCTTTTAAAAACACTTTAATACAGAGACTTTGATTTTAGTTGACTAAAAATTACAGTCTAATGCCGACTCAATTGGACCAAAAGAATATGAATGTCTGCAGATACTTTTGACCTCGTTGACAAATGCAGAAAACTCCAAATTGCTAGAACTGAGAACCTTCTTAGGCATGCCCATTACCGACAGCTATCTAGAGCTATTTAGATTCTGTGTTTACGAGACAAGAACAAGCATATAGAGAAGTTCTGGTAGGGTATATTAAAGATGACGAAGAGAATGGACAGACGGATTTAAAAAAGGGTATAGATGTTTGGAAAGCGTATTGTAAGTATTTATATTCCGATATGGACCAGGTACCCGCTGACACCCCGTATATACCTAAATGTCAGGCCTCCACTTACCACCCTCCTTCATCAAACACACATCACACTCCTCTTGCAGGCAACGATAACACAGTCTTTGAATTTAAACCTGACATACTTGTTTGTGAGGTTGAATTTGTTCTTAAAAACTGTAAGCTAAAAGTAGTAACAGCATATGATTTCGTTACAGCTGACATTTTTGAGCTTTTTTTCTGTATAAGCAATAATAAACCAAAACACATCTGCTAAGATGTTGATGGCTATGATAATGGAATCAACCTTAAATTCAGTAAATTCAGTACACAACATTGACTATCCGCCTATGTCCCTAAGAATATTTTCTAGGTCGCCAAAAAGCCTTTACTAGAAAGCTAATGAACGCCCTCTATGGCTTAGGCGAGAGTAACTGATTCTGTCTTATTTCTGTCAATCTTTAAAATCCACTATATCATTTAATTACATTATCACTGCAATAACAGCCGATTCCAGATAACAGGGAAAAAACTTTACAACAAAGATGAGTAAGATACGGCAAAATTAGGAGTTTGGCCTTTACTGCAAGGCTAATCTTGCTCTTTTTTGATTCGAAGAGAGTATCTGCTACTATCTTACGAGACCCTGCTTAGGATCTAACCAATCATAGACATCCAGAAACCACTCTAAGAAAAACCATCGACCTTACAAAAACACATCCCTTTCCAATCCCGGATACTTATTCTTGAATACACTAATCCCATATGTATTCACTTCTCTTTAGGCATACAGTAAACAAGAAACTTCAAGCCTTCTCATAAGGCAAGCTTCGAAGAAATCATAACCAGGAACAAATTTCAAAAATTTTTATAAAACAAGCATCGGATGCGCCCTTACCAGATGTGATAAAATAATAGAACCATATTTATTACCGAATTTATGCAGCGTATACACTGGAGAACTATATATGCGATATCAAAAGCTTATAAAACATAAG